GCTGGCTCCTGCAGAGGCAAACACTGAAGCCTCACCCGAAGCCTGCTCAGTGCTGGCTGCCCTTCCTTTGCTCTGTGTCACAGCTCTGTGGTACCCCCATGTTCAAATTTGAAGTATTTGCTGCCTTGGAAATCCACTTGCACTGGGAATGCTGTGCTTGTCCCTCGAGGGGTTGTGTAAGACCAGCTGAACGTTCACTGCTCAGCAGTTTCAAAACCTGCAACACTCCTCCCCATTGACTTTGGCATTTGACAAACCACGTTAATGTCATAAAAGGGACAACGTGAACGTGACCCTTGCTTTAATTTCACACCACATGATACCAACACACCCGTGCTAAAGAAGGTCTGGTTGAAAGCTATTCAAGACCACCACTGTCCAAATTAATCCAAATCAGAACTGCAACACCAAAAATATGCATCATGTGTGCTGGACAGAAGCATCCTGACAAGTAAAGACAGGGTAAAAAACATCCTCTCATCACCTAGAGACATTCCATCATAAAGAATTTTGAAAACAGTTTTTGCATGTTACTTTTAAAACAGTGAAATATCTGCCTCCAAAATCCAACTACAGAAAAGTGTTATAAACCTACTTCTTAAAAACTGTATGTGATCCCAGAACACTAATGTTATACTTGAGAAATAAACAGACAAAATAAAACTTATAAAACTAGATCTATAAAGCTTCAAGCTTCACATAAACAAAAATCAGAAAATAAATTATTTATCATCACAGGCTGCCTGACAGGATCTGCGCCCAAAGCTTACATCTTTGGCTTGAAATAGGCCCAAAATAAAAGTATCATATTTGAGGATGTCAACTCCCTGCAAAAATCAGGAATTCCTGTTATTCTCTTTGTATTATGACACTCAAGCATTGCACACAACTTAGAAGTTTTCATTTCTGCTCATAGTCCTAAAGAACTGCCAGGCAACTGAAAGAGTGAACAAAAGATTCGTGTCAAGTCAATGTCTACACCACATTTCTGTATCATTTAATGGCCCGTGAAACCTACTCCAACAGGAAGAAGAACAGATCAAATTAAATCAGACTTCAAAAACTGTGGGAAAACAGTGTCTGGAACGACATCTCCCTCCACGACAGGTGTCACCACATGAACATGGAAGGCAGCTAGAAGTTTTTTTAAGACTCCAAAAAATAGCAATGAATAGAATCTCTAATCCTTCCTCCTTGTCAAGTAAAATGGGGGAGCTTAATGCAGAAATAAATTGCTCAGCTTTGCCTTTAAGCAAAAGTAATACGTATTAGGGTCTCCCTCTTCTTCATTTGTACATCATTATTTCATTTTTTCAGTTTTTCATCCCAGTGCTCACCTGAAAAAACTCCAGAACTACCTCAGCCCTCAGAGGTATAACTGAGAAAATGTCCCCACATCTGAATCCAAATGAAGTGTTCACAGCTCACAAATACACACACAATATACACTCCTTATACACACACCAGTGCCTGAAGGACAAAGATGATTTCTTTTTCTTGCTTTTTATATAATTAATGTGATGTGGAACTCTTTCACAACTGTTCACATTAATGCTTGCTAGCTAGTTCCAAACCAGATGTAAGGAAGGAGATGTGTGAAGAGAAAAAGGCAGAGATGATACCCAATACATTTATTAATTAATTCACAAGTATAGTCCAATTGATTACTCAAACAAGGTCCCCTCTCCATCCTCTCCCATATCAGGGAGATAGCTGAGGGCACTGGGGGCACTGGGCACCCCTTCCCTTCCCTTCCCTGGCAAGATCCTGCCCAAGTTACAGCAAATCCAGTGCAGTCAGCACTGCTGGGACAGGAGGACTCTGAGACAAATCTGCCTTGCATTTGTCACTCTCGGCCCATCAGCCACCCAGGCTGTGACCTGCCCTGCAAAATAGTCTGAAGGGGCCTGGAACAAGAAACCTGCACAAACACTGGGCTGCTTGAGTTAAGAGATTGCAATAAAAACTAATACAATATTTTTCTCTGCCCCTTTAAGGATGATGAGCAAATTACACTTACCTTACTGCTAAAGAAAGTGATATTAAAATATAAATAAATTCCGAATATTTTTACCACTGACAGATACAGCTTTCACAAGTGAGGGTACATGGAGCACATGTTAAAGGACTAGATCTGGTACCTGGATACCCCAAGCTGTCATATTCCTCCAGGTTTATATAAAATTATTACAGGAATCTGAAGTTTGATCTGAAGACTAAGAAGTTTTAAGTAAGACAAAAGAGCAGAAGCATACTATGCTAAAAAGGCCAAGTACAGGCGGAACGAGGTTTGAAAAGATGGCATAAAATTGGTGGACACACTCTATCCAGTTAATTCCCAGTTAATTGTATCTTCAGGCTGAACAGCAGGGACAGGAGGGAAGATGGGTTTTATGCTGAGGGCACAGCTGGGGACTCAGAACACACAACACAAGGGACAAAGGAGACCCCAACCTGCTGCCTCCACAGAACACAAACACCAGGCCAGAAGTGGGGGAGTGCCCTCCAATTAACCTGTTCCATTTCAGACTGAATGAATCCCCAAATTACCGTGAAGCAGCACAAAGCTGAGGGTTTAAAATAATGTTTTAGGGAAGTTTAAGGTATTTGAATAATCCCCAACCCTTGATTTCAGACCTGAGCCAGTGACATATGACAAAGTTGTTATGTGTCATTATGTTACCTAATAGTGACAAGGTTTTCAGCCCTAACTATTACACGGGCACTGCTTGCTCCACAGCCCAGCTTCCCTGCAGAGCACAGCTCCAGAACACTCAGTTTAAAAGCCTAATTTAAAAAAAAACCTAATTGGCTGAATGTGAAGAGCACATTGCTTTTTAACTAGTACAGTCTAGTGCAGTTTTTGCTGGACACATCTGAACAACATCTATAAACAGCAGTTTTCAGAAATATATTTTTTATCTAAATGACTTTTTAAAAGCCATTAGCTGCAAGCACCACAACAAAAAACGTAAAAATAGCACCCTGCTAAAGATGGTTGACTGCTAATTTAATTTTGCACCAGGTAATAAATATACAAGCAGGAAGGCTGGTTCCTCGGGCTCACACATTCCCAGTTAAAAAACATCTGTATCAGTGTCTGCTATAGTGGCAACTGCTTGGGGAGACTCTAAAGAAATTTCCTATTCAACCATAGCGTAGATCAGTTCCAAATCTGTACAATAAAAGCTAATTTGAATTGATAGCTTCATTTTTTTTTTATTCATTAGAGCATGTTAAACTGTTTTAAGAAATGCTTCATTGTTCTGGTGATAGTGGTCACGTTCTATGCTCAACAATCACGTACGTGTTGGAAGATGACAAACTCATGTCATTCTTTTCCATTTTATGCTACATTTAGCTGGATTCTGCTTTTTTTCTGTGAAGTCCCTGTTCTCATCCTGTGCTAT